CCCATAAGAAAGACAAAACAGAGCCAAAACCGAGACCTTCAAATGGGCCAAAAACAGAAAATATTTTCATCCATAATTTGATTCCAAAAGAGCTCAAACCGGACACAACTACTGGGTCAAAACAAAAAATATTTCCAGCATAAATTTGATTCCAAAAGAGTACAAACCGAACCCAACATATGGGCAAACCGAGCCCACAAGAAAGGCAAAACAGAAAATAAATATTTCTCCTTGGAGCTTTATATAGCTTTATATTCCAAAATATTGTGCCAACATATATTTCGAATGGGGTCAAATAACAGGAAATATGTAAGTATGCATAAATCTTTATAGCCAACATGTTTCAGCACTAAAATGGATTCCAACATAGATTCTAAGTGAGCAAGCATCAATGCAAAGTTTATATCCATGATCATTTTATGTATTTTTTAAACAGGAAAGAAACATAAGCCACCATCCTTCTTTTAACAATAAACTGCTCCAGCAAGAAGCAAAGAAAGAAAGCCACAATTTTTAGCATATAGGTAAAGACATATTAGAAGTGTAAGAAGAAGATTTACATGTGAGAAGGGACCTAGACATGCTTTCCCTAAAGTCCACATAAAGTGTCTAAAGTGTCTAAACTAGATCCAACAAAAGTATTAAAGAACAAATTTTTGATATCAATGCCCTTGTGAAATAGCTGTTAAAACAAATCAAAAGCCTCATATATGTATTTTTCATTTTAGTACTTTCAACATGTGTCGAGCATGGTGACAGAACATAGAAGAGATAAAAGAAGTGCCTTATTTGAGATTTCTTGAAAAAAAAACAAAAAAAAGACACCAAGCTCCCAAACGTCCATCACACAGGAGCCTAGCCGAAAAGATAACTTCAGCAGGGCCTCTTTTCCTAAAAACTTCAGAAAGCAGCAACCCTCGAGTGCTCCACACTCCCAACACACGAAGAACTTAGCCTAGAAAGAATTTCGGCAGAGTCTTCCTCCCTAAAAGCCTCAAACAGTAAAAAAATCACAGCCTCCCTTTCTCTCAAGAAATTTTTAACAGCCCAAAACAGTACACTAAGAAGCTTTTTTATAGGCAGAGAAGAGAGGGGGAAACCATCACCTACCACTGTAAGGTGATCGAATCAAACGGCAAGGCAATAATTGCCACAGTAAAGAGGAAGACGGTAAAACCTCAAGAAGGAGAAGGGTCGGCCAGCTCGGCCCTTGTCATTGGAGAGCCGAAGAGTCTAGCGGCCACGCGAAGAATGGGAAGAGTCGAGAAAGCTGGAAAAGATTGTCGCGTGGATCGTCCACGGGAGCTAGGGCACACGAAGGAGACGAGCAGAGCGTTTGACTAAGTCGGGGGTCAAACGAGGGTTTAGGTGTGCGGGAATAGAGAGAATAGGGTTTAGGATTATAATTTTAATATTATAAGTAATAAAGTATATAAAATATTTAATATTTCTTAAAAATAAAATTTAATTCGTACTTTTTTATTTTTGCATCAAAACATAACAAAATTGATGTCCTTTTAAGGTAATTTCGACGTTTCAGACGCGTTGGTGCGGTCTGTTTCGTCATCGGAGATCATTTTGACGAATTCATCGATTTGCATGCAATTTTGCTCGTGTCGAAAATATGACAATATGGGTATTTTTTTCCTACTAAAATTGGTGTCCTGGACGTGTTGGCACAGTTCATTTTGTCGTCGGAGGTTGTCCGGAGAAGTTCGCATTTTCACTCATCCTTTAAGCTCAATTTAAGTCCAATTTTGTGCAACTTAGTGAATTTTGTGCATTTGGTATGCATGTGTGACGATAAAGTTCTGAAGTGGATTTCCTAGGGCTTGAGTTCCTATTGGGAATTTCTCTTTGAGCTTCCACATGATAGTCCTTAACCACTCGACCATAGGACGATGGCTTTGAGATCATCAATGTGAGATATCACATGAGAAATAGGAGGTGGCTGGAATTTCTAAAATGGTGGGTCTCAATTCTAGTTTTATAAGATAGTCAATAGGAACCCCTAGAGCTAGATCATAGGATCCTAAGGAAAAAAGTAATGACCTCAAAATGAGGTCAACAGAGGTAAGCAAGTTAAATTTAAGCCGAATACGAGCTTATTCAAACAAATAAGTTTGAATCGACTCGAACAAAAAAAATGTTATTCATAAGCTATTTTGAACACAAGCCAAACACGACGTAAAAACTTTGAACAAGCCAAACAAAAACAAGCCTTGGGCTCGCTCAAGTTCGGCTCATTTACACCCATATTACACAAGGAGTTTGTGAAGAAGCCTTAAAAGTTCCTGCATGGAAATAAGAAGTTGAAGAAATTCGGAAATTCGGCTTCTAGAGAAGAATAACACATTGACACGTACAGAGTACCTCCTAGAAAAAATTATGTTGACTGTAAATGAATATTCACAGTCAAATACAAAAGAGATGAAAGTGTTGAGAGATTCATAGCTAGATTTGTAGCAAAGGGCTTCACGCATTCATATAAGATTGACTGTCAAGAAACATATGCACATGTTCCCAAACTTAGTACTATTTGGGTTTTACTCTCTTACAGTAAATCAAGATTGGTCTTTACACCAACTTGAATTAAAAAATGCATTCTTAAATAGGAACCTTAATGAAGAAGTTTACATGACAATAATTTCGGGCTTGAAAATTAGGTCAAACAACATGTTGGTTTGAAAGTTAAAGGAGTCCCATATGGCTTGAAGCAATCTCCTCATATTTGGTTTGACAAGTTTGCTAGAACAGTGATTACAAATGAATATCATCAGTGTTAAGTTGATCATAAACTAATTGGTAAATCCAATCCTAGAGGCAAAATTATTAGTTTCACAGAATATGTAGACAATATTATTTTGGCATGTCATAATTCACATAAAATCATTGGACTAAACATGCTTGAAAAGAAATTTGAGATTAAGGACCTTGGGACTCTTCCCTATTTTTCGGGAATAGTAGTGGCCCGATCTAAGGAGTAAATTGTCATATCTCAAAGGAAGTACATCTTAGAGCTATTAAGTGAAACCAGTATGCTTGGCTTAAACCTACTGATAAACCCATGAATTTCAAAAAATGTTGAATGGTAGTAAGGAAAATAGTCTAGTTAACAAATGAAGATATCCAAGACTTGTGGGCTACTTTACCTATCGCCTAAAGACCTAATATTACATACTCAATCAATAAAGTAAGCCAGCACATGAATAATCCAAACGAGAATCATCTAGAAATAGTGTAAAGAATCTTGAGATACTTGAAGATGACCCTAGAATATAATTTATTTTTCAAAAGGACTAAAGACCGTGAGATTGAGGTTCACATAAGAGTTGGGCGGAAGAGGTAACTGATAAAAATCTACCACGGGATGATGTTCATATGTCTAGGGAAATCTGTCACGTTAAGCAAAAAAAAGTTGTTCTCTCAGAGTAGTGCAGAATTTGAATATAGTGATCTTGCAAAGAAATGTGAGAGAATTTGAATTCAAAGATTATTAAGGGAACTTATGGTTGAGATAAAAGACACAATTATGTTCAATAATAGCCAAACATCTATTAGTAAAGCCAAAAATCATGTGCATCGTCGTAGATCAAAACACATCAAAATTGACCGGCACTTTGTCTCAGAAAATGTTAACAATAGAATTGTTCAACTCGACCATACTCCCACAAGACTTCAGAAAGCTGATATTCTCACAAAAGCATTACCAATGGTTCATCATGATGAATTGAAGTCCAAGCATAATTTTCACAATATATACAACCTAACTTGAAGGGAAGTATAGGAAAGTGCAAGTCCGCATTAGAAAGAATATTATTTCCATATCCAAAATATATTTCTCTAATGGTGTTTCCTTTTATTTATATTTCCTATTTTTAATTCTTCTTTATTTAGAGTGATTCCTATTTTGTTACATTCTTTATTATTATCATTATTTTATATATATATATATATATATATATATATATATGTGTATTGCATTGGGAACAACAAGAAATACAATTTTTTATAGAATTCTACATACAAACATGTGTGTCTACATTTCTACAATGAGTTCATTGAGAAAACAAATTTAATCCATAATGATCATTCATAGAAATTATGATGCAAAATTCATCCCAATTTAGTCCATCGACTATACAAGAGTGATCCCAATTTAGTCGTTCTAGTACCATTTATGAACAATTTTGCACGGTTAAGAAACTAAATTAGATAAATTTGATACTCCTTGACTAAATTAACCAAATATGAATAGTCAAGGGGCCTATTTAAATTTTGGACTAAACTAGAGAGAGAGAGAGAGAGAAACTTGTACATATAAACATTTTAATCAATTAATTTTTTAGCTAGTTTAAAAAAAAACTTTATTCAACAACACTTCACTCAAAAAATGAAAAGCATCAAGAGTATAATTGCCAGCCGTGTTATGATTAATAAGTTTCACCCTCGGAATTATTTAGCTTGATAATAATTGATATCAGATGTGCAGGGATGTGACATTATATTAAAGCGCAATACATTTCACATTTCAAAGCATAATAATTATACTTTATTTGCAATATGATATGCCAAATTCATTTGTTGGATGTGATTTTAAACACTAAAATAATTTGAAATAAAGGCATCATAATTAAATCACTTCATTTCAAAGCCACTACAAAAGGAATTCCATTTAAAACTTAAAAGCATTTAAATTTACACTGCAACCCTGTTTCCACTTGTCCTGGAAAATAACTCAAGTAAATTAAATAACAAGATGACATTATTGAAAAAATAATTACACAGATGACGCATGTCCACATTTAATAGCTGGTGATGATTTCATACAGATTAAACTTAAGATATACCAAAGGGAAGTGACCAACGCTACAAAATGAAATACTAAGATACATTTGCTAAAAAAAGTAACATAATTATGTGATGAAATTCCACTTAAAATAGTTGATGATGAATTTTATACAGACAAAAATAAAAAAGAAAAAAAAAACATTTCTTACTTGAAATCCAGCAAAGGACGAATATAATTTTGTCCAAACATGTAATAATCGAAAGGCTCTCGTGTAGCTTTGTGATGAGGTTGAAACATGAAAGGGTTCTGCCGCATGCATTAGAATGGCAATGAGCACACAATACAAGAAAAAGCACCATTTTTTGTGTTCCAACTAGAATAAGAGCGATTGAACAATAAAAATTTGAGAAAAATTTAAGGACCTCTACGTCCATAAGAATTCGATCAAATGCAACTGTCATATTGGATAGTACAATTTCATCTGCTTCTGGAAGTCCACTTTGTACAACCTACAATTATGCAAAATATTACATAATATGATGCGTAAAACAAAGTTGCATAATGTGCAAACCAAAGTAACAGAAGAATTAAGTAATCATAATTGACAAATGACAAATATGGTGCGTAAAAAATGTTGAAATGACGCTTCATGATTTAATATTAGAATGAAAAGCAAGATGGATCGCCTTTGTTACGTAAGTTCTACTAAAGTAACAAGGCTTAACAATGCTACCGAAACGAGAGCTAGATTCTCGTTTTCTTATAAATCTTAAAAAGGCAGCCATACTAACAATTTAGTTGGACAGCATACGAGGCTGAAAAAAATGTACAACCATACGCTAGACTTCAGATAGAAGATATAATGTAATATATGATATGAAAATATGAACTAAGATTCATAATGTAATATTACGTAGGCAAAATACACTCAGCTGCAGCAGTACTGCAAGTTTAAATAACTGAGAAACAAAACTTATCATATTTTGCAACATTTATAATTGAATTTAGAGGGTTTATTGTATTTAAAAACAATAATAAGGCTGTGGAAAAAACAAAAATTGATAAAGTGAGAAAATTTTATCTTAAATAATACAGAAGCAGCACCTATAAAAACTATGGTTGTTAAAAAATGATTAAAAAGCATTGGGAAATTTGGGCATTACAATAGAAAGTACCAACTAGGTAGGAGATAAGCTCACAGTAAAATAAGAAAAAAGTAAAACATGGCTAGAAATATGCATAGCTATAAGCGTAAACTAGAGTTAAAAACCGCATGAAAACTTATAAAGGAACGTATTGTAACAAAGAGTTCACAAAGCTAAACCTAAACAGCCCGTACTGCGCCTCCTAGCACATAGCACTGCATGTCCCCCCTCCCTGCGAGCAAAAAGAGCATGGAAGCAGGGGGTTAAAATTGATGGGAGCTATTTGAGTCATGCACGGGTAGGCGTGCATAGGGTGAAACCCCAGAAACGTATTTTATTTAAATTTTTATAATTTAGGATCTATAACTAATATTTGTATCAACTATTATATTGATTAGTTTTAATCATCACAATTATAATTTGTTTGGGCATCAAGCTGTCCCCATTCACAGGCCCCCGCATACACTTATCCGGTCATCATTCAACTTCATTTGACTCCAAGGCATTGAGAGCAAATGATGCTCTCATTCTAACCAAATGCGGAACCCGCCATGCGCATTGACGTCCATGTTCTCACGATGACCAAATGATCCAATGAAGTATGCACTCGCCAAATGCTCTTGTTCTCGTTATCACCAAATGATGCACTAAAAATGTACCCATCAAAAGATGTTGCCCTCACTCTCACCAAGTAGCACATCGAACACTTCTCACTAAAGGTTGTTCCTGCCTTCAACTTCATGCAGGAAGGTTTTTAAGGTTTCGCCAAAGAGAAGTGCTCAACAAACGTAGATTACTAGTTATGTGATTATCATCCAATGAATTTATTGGTATGGCAAAAGGCATTATATGACATGTTGATGCTAATTACAATGCTCCTTGTAACTTTTATTTTAGTAGTACATGCATGGCCAAATTAATTTATGATTACTAATTATTTTCTTATGTTTTCTATCCAAAATTTTCTAGTTTCATCTTTTCAATCTGCTGGACTTTTAAAGAAGATAGCTTATTACCATTCAATGATTTATGCTAAACATATCAACAAGATTCTTTGCAAGTTTTGCCTTTTTTCTATTTAAAACATTAGTTGCCTCAATTACTGTTAGGTACATTGAGAAATATCAGATTTTGTTCAAATTGCAAAAATAATTTGTGTAAAAAAATGTGCAATCTTAGCCCCAAAAAAAAAAGTTATAATGATTGTCTGACTAGTAATTTTTGTGGCAAAATGATAGAAGAATGAATTGCTCATCACAAATGACGAGTATAGAAATGCTAAAGCTTCTATTAACTACGCTCAACGTATAAAAAATGAAATTAAAACGTCTTTAGAGAAGAAAGAGTTGGAAAGCTAAACTAATAAAATGTCACAAATTAATATTGATGAGAATGATAATTTTGATATGATAATGAATGGAGATATTTTATGAGTTGGATTATCAAAAAAAAAATACCATACAGTAAAATCAAATATATCCATTCAAAGTCAAAGGCTATTAATGCTTAAAAAACAAAGGCTAAAGAACCTTTGGGTACGCTATTTACCCTAAACCCTGTTGAAATGGTGAAGCAATAAAAGGGTGAAATGCTAAAAATACATGAAAGCTGCTAGCAAAAAAATGAGAGAAATAACGGTCCAAGTATCTTATTGTTGGATGTATGATGCTAGCTAGCATTCCTTCCAATACAATTAAGTATAAAAGCTTTCAGATAGTAATAGAAGCATTTCAACAATTTGATACTAGAAGAAAACAATCCAACCATCAAGAGGAGTGAATTTCATGTTTTAAAAAAGTGGCAAGGCACCACAATCATTAAAACATTATAAAAATATTATCTTAAATACAATTATTTTCATACAGCCGATGGTTAGATATACCATAATGAAAAAAGATTAATTAACCTTTGGTGAATTGTCCAAAAGAGCCACATTCATAGTTAATTGATGTCGGTTCTTATTTAGAGAAAGTAGAGTAAATAATTGAATTATTTAGCAAATATATTAAAAAAATTGGACCACATTAATAATTCTTCTAACTTCCTGCATGTTAGTAACTTGTTATATACTCTACTTCATTAAGTCATATATATTTTTTGAATAGATTGGTAATTTATTGTTGTATAATTTGTGATATTATTATAACAAAATTCTTGAAGGATAAATAAATGAACTTATATTGAAGCTATTATACCAATTATTATTTGGATTTAATGATGAAATATATCTTTAAGATTCAAATATTAAGGCGATACTTTGAGAAGGTGGAGGCGGCCATACATAGTTTCATTTATTCAATACTATGATTGCTTTGCTTACAGTAGATAAATACAAATCAAATATCACGTATCAAGCCTGATAAGACTCATTTTTCACTAACTTCTTCCATTCGAACATTTTCATTAGTAATAAATAAATTTAAAAAATATTTATATGTGAGAAATTTTTGTTGACCCTTATTGAAAGAAGACTAAAGCAAAACAAGCACAACAAATTTTCTTAAAGCAATTTTTGGAATACTATGATATATGCGCTCAAATTAGACGACATTTGCTGAAGAACTTAGATTTGGTTATAAAAAAAATAACTCCCGATGCGTGCTAGAAAATTCGAGGAAGTAGAGTAGCTTATTATCGTTTTACCGTGATACAAAGATTCAGCACACGCCCAGAAATGAGAAAGCAAATAATAATGACCAAAAGTTTTAATGTAGAAAACCCGGAAAGGGAAAAATCATTGGGACTGACCCAGCTGAAGAGTTCTACTATAAAAAGATGATTAGAGTTGCAAGTCCCTCAGGCGAGAAAAGATTACTAGGTTTTCCAAGTTACAACACAAACTGACGAAAACAGATAGTGATTGGCAGCGTCCGATTGGTGGTGGTTGACGATGATCGACGGCGGTCGGTGGGGGGTTGGGCTCGGCTGTGGTCGGAGGTCGGCAGCCGTCGACGGCAGTGGTTGACGGCGATCGATCGGTGGTTGATGACGGTCGTTAGTTGTCGACGACGGTTGGCAGTAGATTGCTATTAGAGGTGGAAAGCGATGGACGACAATCGGCGGCGGTTGGCAGTGGTCGACGACAGTAAGAGGTGGTGTTGGACTTCATTTTTTTCTCAAAGCTTCAAGTTTCTCAAGCATCAAGCTCTCTCCCTTCATGAGAGGGGTGGGCTCTATTTATAGAATTCTGGGTGCAATTAATGCAGAAATATAAATTACTTTAATCGATCGACCTAGAGGATTTCCCTCGATCGAACGCTATTTGATGACCATTTGAGTGTCTTAAGGAAGTTAGAATTGAGTGATCTTGAGCTCATTGAATTCGTCTTGTCAATACACTCAAGTTGACTATAGACTCGTCAGAATCAACACTATTTGACCTTCCATATGCGTCCAGAAAGCTTCCAAAAGCAGTTTAATGGCTTGATTTAGGTTTGATTTGGACCAATTTTGGTAAAATAGGGTTCTTGACGAACCGGTCAGTTTGACTGTAAGTTTGTTGAAATCAGAGTTCTAAATGATTTTTTATCGAGATTTGAATATTTCTTGCTCAAACAGTCGCCTAGAAATTCATGTCGGATGATGAAATTTTGTTGATGGTGTATCAAATACAATTGATTACATGTATGAAACAATGGATAGGGCCAAAAAAGGTAAATATATATGAGCTTTAGCAATAAAAAAAAATTTGAGCGTGTTTTTAAAAACAATGATAATGACGAGAAGCACTACTCTATCAACCATTGCATATTGTTTCGTATTTATTAAATCCTAGATATTTTTCAATAACCCTGATATTGCAAAAGATAGTAATCTCCTACTATAAAATAGAGCACTACTTATGCACAACAAAACAGTATATGGCCAAAAAGCTCAATATTTATAGAGTATGTAAACCAAAGAGTCTAGCCTTACCTGCAATTCATCTGGATGCACAAAATTGAGCGTATATGAGCATATAAGTCTAAAATAAAATTGTATATTGGTCATTATTATGAAACTGTATAATTTAATTAACTTTTTATTGTAGCTTAATGGAAAAAGAAGAAGCAAACTGGATCATAATCACCTAAGATTTAGTTTATAAGAAATATAATGGAGGCTTGATTTGAAGACGTACCATTATGAAATTATAGACCATATCACTTTAAATGATATATATGAAGTCAAAGAGTGGTTAAAAGAAAAACAAATAAGCTAAATGAAGATAACGAAATAACTACTGGTGAGAAAGAATTTAAATGGAATACTATTGCTAAAGCAATGGATGTTCATAAGAGAAACTACAATATTCGAGAGTAATATAAAGGTAAATAAAAGATTTTTTCATCTAAAACTAAAACTCTTGCAAACATGAAGATGTG